TCAGACTGTTTGTTGATCATTTTTGTACGCTACTCTATTAAGCTTCTTTCCTGCTATCTGTTAATAGCTTTAGCTACATGACAAGATCCCAATGTGTAGGGCTGGGCAGGGGCAGTGCCAGCTCCACCAGACCCAGTCCCAACACGTGAGCGTGGTACTTAATCCCCCTGGACTCCATCCCAGCGTGCAGGGCATAGGATGGGGCAGTGCCAGGCCCCAGAACCCTGTCTGGCCCACAGATGGATTCTGTGCCATTCATCTGACCCATGAGGCCAAAAGGTTGAGCACCACTGCTGTAGATCATAGGTCAGCAACTTACAGTGCCAGGGTCAGATCTGGTACGTGGAACCCTTAGATCTGGCCTGTGGAACTATGACTTTGGTGTCATCCAGCAGCAAGGTGACACTGCTGACACTGTCCCACAATCAGGTGCAGAGATGTAACATGCAAAGAGTGCACCCAGGGAAGTTGTCTCTCATCCTTTCCACCCACCCTTTGGCTTGTACCTTCTGGTTTCTTCAAGAGACAGCATATAGGAGTAATAGCAGCCAGCAGCGCAGGTACTGTGTGAGACAGTGTATAAGGCCTTCTGGGAATTGCAGTTCTTTATAGTGGAGTTAGCTGTTGCTCAGGACAAGCTGTCACATTATTTTTGTTGCTGAAGCCTATGCCAAAGGGACTTTAAAAAAAAAAAAGATGATTTTGGCATGGGATCAAACCTTCCCCCTGCAGCAGCAAACTCTACTGCTACTCTGCAAATTTCCCAGAGCAGTTCGTGCTCTGTGATATGCACTGCCTGTGCTGGTGCTTCCTGTAGCTAGGAAGTACAGGTGGATGGGAAAATGATGTGTCCATCCTGAACCTTCTGGTGCCCCTCCCCTTAGTCAGGGGTGGGCAAAATGCGGCGCGTGGGCCAAACGCGGCCCACCAGGCCATCCTATCCGGCCTGCAGGGCCCTTAAAAAATTTAGAAAATTAATATTTATCTGCCCTTGGCTGCCTGCCATGTGGCCCTTGATGGCTTGCCAAAACTCAGTAAGCGGCCCTCCACCCAAAATAATTGCCTGCCCCTGCCTTACGTGGTGCTCGGAGCACATGCCCTACTTCTCCCTTTTCCCTCCTCCAACCAAGAAGTTATGCTAAGACCATGTTTTAAAGATTTTCTAGAGAATATGATTGGCCCCTGTTATTTTGCATTTGCTTAAACACATATTTTATTTTAATATTATAGAAAGTAGCATCCATTATGATACAGCAGTTTAATTCAAAGCTGCCAAATTGGGATATTTGTGAAAAACCTTTAGTGGAATAGTAGTGTTTGTCTGGATTTTCAAAATTGTTTCTGGCAGCAGTTAAAGCTGTTGAAAGTCTCTCAATTAGTTCAGTAAACACTATATTTTTTGTGGAGTAATTGAATGACCCTGAATTCAATTTATGAGTGCATTATTAAAAAGCCCATGCATAGAACTACCAGCTTGAGTACTGTTTGTTATTTTGCAGCAAACACTGTCATGCCTGAAGAAGAGGCACATGTGCATAGACTCTTGAGAGGTGAATGTTGGCAGATGTCTCATTCTACATGTAATGTTCTCAGATTGTGATGTCACAAAAGCCAGGTTATGACTTCTTTATAAGCGCTAATAGAAAGGAATGCTTGTCTTTAATGGGCAGGGAAATTTACATTCAAAATAAAAATAGAATATTTCTGTCAAGAAAATAAATTCTTATGTGAATGTTCTCTTCTTGCTATTTAACTCCAGTACAAAACTCCCTTTTAAAAATATCCTAGTTATTTGTGAAAGAGATTAGCAATTTTAATCTTATGGGATCACTGGATTACCCTCAGTGTGTTTTCCTGGTTAATAACACTTAAATGTTTATCCTAATTCTGGGATGTTCAGACAGAAAGGATATTGATAAAATAACCATGTTTTGAAGTGTTAACGTTGTTGTACTTTGCATTTTTAATTTAAAACTTTTTATTTAAATGCCTTGAATTTACAGAAGTAATTTTCTGGCATTCTAAAATAAATTAAAAAATGAAATACTATATTAATTCATGTGATTATTTTATTCCGATATATCCCATTGTTTACTAGTACCTATTGGCTTTACTGGTAAATTACTGAGTAGTAAGTAATTTATGCATTGGCTCAGTATTCAGAAACCATATGTATCACTTCATTGAATTCAAATTGATGGTAGTTAGCTTGCCAAGCCTTTGGAATTAGTGTCTGTGTATTTATTCTAACCAACTGTTTAACAGTGATAAGCACAGGTAATTAATTTGGAGTAATCTGTTTAAAAAACAGATGCAGATTCATTTTTAATCCCTGCTAGAGAGTGGCTACAATCCGTGTTTCTGTTTTATTATATATTCTAATACTTAAAGGATTTCTAGGAAACTTTAAGCTATCAGGGCCTTGTTTGTTTAAATTGTGTGGAAAAGTGTGCAGCTTCTATCCCTACAGTCACATGGACAGTGATCTTTTTGAATAAATGCTTATAATAATTGAAATCATCTTAGTGACAGGAGGTGGAAAATCATCAGCAGTTTCAAGATGTATAGTAGTCACTATGTAGGTGACATTTAGCTAAGAAAAAAAATCAGGCAAGATTTGAAGTGACTGGGGTTTTTTAATTGAAAAAAGATTGAAAGATTTGAGCCTGAGCTGCTATGAACTAAATTATTTTATATAGTCTTAAGTAATGGAGATAAGTGAGCAGTACTTTATTTCCTATAGTATGACTTTGGATTTCACCCAGAGATATCTTAAAATCATGCCCAGTGCTCCTAGGTTTTGAATACATATTTAAAATTGTGAAATTTCAGCACAGGGATGGTATGCCTGGTATATATCCAATTAAAATTTCTAAGAAATCACAAATATATTGCATTGTTTACATTTTATATATACACAGACCTTTGTTGGAGATCTGTGCTGCATTCTTGTTTGGTAGATCTGGTAATAGGGATTTAGACAAATCCTATGAATCAGATAAAGCCATAACAGTTAAAAAAATAAATCTTAACCCCCTCTCTTAGCTGTGCAATAAACTGAGTTTGGGAAGGTATGGAAGTCTCCCAGAACGTTGTATTCAGTGCCCTTGTAGCCCTTCCTCTGCTTTCTAGAAATTATCCATGCAAATAAAGCAACTCTCCTTATGCAAGGAAGCTATTAGGGATAGAAAATTTGAGTGATTCTGGATGACTTTTTTCCCTTTCATTTAGTGCCAAAAAAAATTAGGCTGCCTAGTTTATTACAAACATGTATGGTGGTATATATTGCATTGTGCTTCACAAATCATGATCAAAGACATGCGTCCTGTCCCAAACAGATTTATACCTTTGTCTCCCAGGTGAAATACCACTGTTGCTCAAATTAGTGATAAGGAAATCTGTAACCAACTTCCCAGGGAAGTGGTCTTCGCCCTTTCCTTGGGCAAATTCAAGAGGAGGTTGGATGATCACCTGTCTGGGGTCTTGTGAACCCAGCATTCATTCCTGCCTATGGCAGGGGGTCAGGCTAGATGATCTGTTCAGGTCCCTCCTGACCCTAGCTACTATGAAATCTTGAATCATTCAAAGGCTTAAAAGCGGGACTTGAAAAATGTTTCAGATTTAATTTAGCCATGGACTGATACAAAAGAGAAGGAGGACCAATTGATGCAGGGCTAGTCCATGGGTTGGTGCCTAGCTGCCAATCCCTTCAATGCTTTTGCTGCTGTGGTGGCTGGGTTGGTTCCCCAGGCTTCCCCTCCCTCGTCCAGCTTCCACTTCATCCCCCAGCTCCTGGGGGCAGGGTGGTGCTGTGCAAGGGTTCAGGGCTGTCCATGCTGCATACATGATAGACATGGCAAAGAAATCAGCTGGGCTTTGCATGCTGTAAACAGAAGGGAAAATCTGGACAACATATGGTTGGGGGGAGAGGGGCGCTGCTCAGCCAGAGCTCCCTAGTATGGTGTTTAAAGTTTGACAGCCAAAGCCTTCCCTCAACCAATGCCAAGCAGCTCGGCCTGTGCTGTCTGGAGTGGGGTTTTGTCTGGTCTGACAGACCTGAGTGAACTGGACCTGGGATGCTGTGGGGTTGAGGCTGACAATCAGCTGATTGTCAGTCCCAGTTCCTGGAAGGCCCTGGGTCTCTAATGGGACCTGGGATTGTCCATCTGGGTCAACAATCAGCTGATTGTTGGTTCCACATAGGCATCCAGCTTTCAACTAGCCAATGCAGGGAGAACCAAAGGCAAGTAGTAATGGCACTATTGGGAAATGATCCCCAATCCCAAAATCATGCCTCCAGCCGTATACATGTGGCATGGCAAGGGATGTGATTATTAGGTTCATGGATTGGATCCAATCATGTCATTAAATCAATGTGTGCCAGTGGCCTTTGAAGGGTTGCCCATATTTAGGGAGAAGGGTAATCTAACAAATCTTGTCCCTCTCTAAATGTATAGTCCTATTTAAGAGTGAGATCACAAACCACAATCCAGTAGTATTTAAAACAAACAAATACTGTCTTACAAATAACTCATATAAAAACATTGTTTTAAAAACTCAGGATTGGTAGATGTTATAATATATGTTCTAAAACTTAGAGAATTCTATTATATTTTGTTAAGTGGATATGAATAGTTCCTCCATTGCATAGTAGGAAGACAGGTATTTGACTGAGAATTCACTTAAAAATGTAGAACTTGAAGGAAAAAAAGTCTTTCAGACCAATTGCTGATATGCCTTATTTATTAAAATGATCACAGGTATCTATCAGATTCCTTGTACTATCCATCTAGGTTAGTAAACCCTTACTGCTGTTTTAACACGTAAGTCCTGCTATCTTGTTAAAGACACTTGGAATGAGTGGCATTCTTCAATTTTTTTGAGGGGGTGGAGGTGACTGAAGCTGAAACTATAACCCTAACCTGCGGGAGGAAAGGTGTCTTTCACCTGGAATGTACTGACTGTGCCTGAGAATACTTTTCTTTCTTTATATCCCTCAGGTTTCAGTAACCTGGTCTTGTTGAGATGCCAGATAAAACAGGGGGTCCGGAAGCTGTCCCCAGGAATGAAGGTTAGTATTGTTTTCTTGTTGAGAAACCTCTTTCTTATTTTCTCAGACTAAATATTGATGGTGGGGGGACATAACCGTTATATCTTTGGTGAATCTAACTTGGAAAAGATTTTAAAATGTTGATACTCAGTTTTCATTGCATTTTTGACTTCCAGAAAAATTATGATAAAATCTTCCTATTTATGCATTTTTTTGATGTTTGTCCAAATATTGCTTACTTTTCACTTATTAGTGAAAAGCCTCTTTCCTATAACATTTATTGCTTGAAGTAATTTAAATAAACAATATTTGCTAACATGTAGAGAGGCTCAGTGAGCTGCCTTTTTTTAAACCTTATAAAGATAGTGCTTAATATTTTGTTGGCAGTGAGAATATTTTTGTTTTCTGTGATCAATATTTCAATGTGAGAGAATGAAATTCAACTCCCAGATCTATATGCAAGCACCTAAATAAGTAATCTCAAAATTCAAAGGTGTGAACATCCGTGGTTCTTATTGAAATTAATTGAATCTTCAAATAGTATCAATTCTGAGAATCTGGATTCTGCGAATCTGGATAAGTTTCTATCATTTGAAAATTTTAGACTCGATTCCTAGTGAAAATGAGTTGTTACAAATCTACTGTATATTTAGTGTTCTTCTCTTAGAATCATTTGGGAGTAGAAGTAGAAGCCTTTTAGAGGTCATGGCTTGAGAAACTTCAGTATAGCCTTGTGGTGGGGGTTTTGACTTATACCTGTAGTCTGTTGCACAGCTGGCCATTTGTTCTGAAGCTGATTTACCAAGCTCTCCATCTCCACCCATTAAAAAATAAGCAATTTATAATTGAGAGATTTCTTTGGGAAAACTTCCTTAGCTTAACTACAAAGAGCCTGTCTACTAGTTTCTGTTGCTTTGGTTACTGTGTAGTTCAGCAGATTTTGCCAAGGGCATTCTGAAAGCAGTAACATACATACATACATACATACATATATATATATATATAAAAACATACCTTTATGTCAAACCCTCCAGATGACTGCACTCTTAGGTACAAGCCGCATATTTTTATATACTTAGGTTATGAATAAGCATTGTGCCATAAAAATGTGATTTTTAAGCACTGTACTACTTTAAGAAATTTGTGATTTGGAGCAGGTTATTCTCATGTACTTTAGCCTTATATTTCTTTAAGGAAGCTAGGTAAACATGTCTTTGGTTTTCCAGTAGTAGCATAAGTAAAATCAGAGTGTGATCCATGTAAAAAAGTCTGCATTTCACTCTGTTGTAACTGCTGTAATTCACTACTATTCCTGCTTCCTTTCCCCCAAGCAGTTTTGGAGATGACTTTTTTCCACTAAAAATGTGACTTCATTGTCTTTTTCTAGAATGCATTTTAATTTACTACTTAAGCAAGGGATATAGTTGGGGTCTGGTCATAGGTTTGTTTTGGCTCAAGGATGGGATTTCTGATGACACTGATCATGAGGCAGTCTCAGACCAGAGGGAAAAGAGTCTTTCAACATAGTGACCCTCTCAGGTTGGGAAGGTCATACAGATCTCCTTGATGCCACACTGTCAGAAAAGCCAGGAGGCCTATATTCAGCTCCCACTTTGTCACCATGAATTGCATTTTCTTTGTTCCTCCAACCAGCCACAATGGATTATTTTAAGACAACAAGACTTTAAATCACTAAGTAGAAAGCCTTGGTTTTGAAATGATTGATTTTGATTCAGTTTTCCATTTGTATTTCAGTTATTTTCTAAAGAAAGATGCATTCTTATTGATGTAACAATAACATAGCAGATTTACAACTGAGTATTGGACCCTTTATCCTTGAGTTGATATATCTGCTTGCTTCCTAGGAGGGTGCACTATGACTATATATATTTATTTAAGCAATTATATAGTTTATTTTCAGATAATTATTAATTTTACATTTTAGTATGTTACAGAATGGTAAATTATAGTAATACTTATTTGCTAGGTAATTAACCTTTTGTTCATGATTTGTTTCAAGCAGCTACATTAGGATGGTACTAGAATTTAACTGAATACACAAAACTTCCATATTCTGGGATTCATAAATTTTGAAAACTGAGCCAATTAGAGCTCAGATAGGAGAAAGTTTGTGATCAACCAGGTGGGCTCAATATGTGATCCTGAAAGTTCCCATAAAACAAGGACTTTTGTGGGTGGTTTCATAGATGGAGGCCCCAAACCATATTCCTTTTTCCCCATTTTAGATGACATTTGTAAAAGAGAGTATGATTTCTTTTGACCATAGTTGCCACATAGGTAAAGAAACTTTTCAGAAACTTCTCATTAATAAAGCCAGGTTCTGAGGACTATCAAGAAGAAGACCTTTTGAGTTTCTGGTGAATTTTAGATTACTTGCTGCTTGTAATAGTGAAGGAATAATATAAGCAATATAAGTAATAGTAAGGAAAAATAGATTAAAACATGCAAAATATACAAAGAATCCTTATGTGGAGCCAGAACTTCCATTTATTTGAAAAATTGTTTCCTGAAATTTTCCTGTTTTTTTTCCTTTGTTCCTGTGGCTCATACAGGGGCCAGCAGGGAGTGGCAGGGGTACTGAAGAGGTGAAAGTTGAAAAAGGAATCTGTTTTTCCCACCAAGGCTATACATGTTAATTTTCTCTTTGCAGGAGCTACATCTTTTTTTCCTTCTTGTCCAGCATAGTGCCAGCATTACACTGTTGCAGACACTATGCACTAGTTATAACTCAGTCTAAATGAAAATAAGGTTTAGAGTTGATATTTTCTAGTTTTCCATAATTCTACGTTAGGTTAAATACATTTTTGCAGAGTGAAAACACTGTGCACTGCTGTAGTCTTTATTTTTAAACTATTAAACTCTTTTGTTTTAAGAAAGTTGTTTTTTTCTTTTAAGCAAGCCATTGCTTCAGGAGCTTATAAATAATTTTGTTGGTTTTAGTGTTACTGACATGTCAGTTGCCTTTGGTCCTATCTATACTGAATACTTTTACTGGGGATAGCTATGTTGACTAGGAGTGTGTGTATGTTGCAAGGGGAGGGCGGAGAGAAAGGGGTGGGGGGCAAAATCACATCCTTTAGCTTATTGTTCTCCAACCTTTTCCAGTCCAAGGCACACTTACGTTAATATAAAATTTCTGTGGCACACCTGTTAAGGTAGTATTCCCCATCCTCATACGTATGAGCTCATTGTAGCTCATTGGTATGGCACATCTATTCATTTCTGACAGCACACCATTGTGTTGTGGCGCACTGGTTGGGAAACATTGCTTTAGCTGATATCTGTGTTGGTGAAGCCTCTGCTGTGATACAGTTATGACAACTGAAGGCTTTTGTTGGGTTAGTTTTGTGTTGTCTGGGGACATAGTGTAGCTACACTGGAAGAAAAACTCAGTTTGTTGGCACACCCTGAACCTACATCAAGGGATTCTACCAACATAGCTTTGGTGACAGAGGCTCTTTAGTTATTGACAACCCTGTGGCATTTCACCATAAATGCTGTCAACCCATAAATTGAAAAGAACCCAAAAACTTCCATGAAAGAGTTGGGAACTAATAATCAGTTTTACAGAACCTTATGCAGATGTCTGACAATATATGTTGCACATTAAATTGAGGAGAATGAAGATTTAGGGCACAGGTGACAAACTCATTAGGCCCTATGGGCTACATTCAGACCATGAGCAGCGGCAGTGGTGGTGGTAATCCCAGCAGCTTCCAGATTTTCAGCACAGCTCTGGAACCCATCAGTTCATCACTGCTGTTGCTCGTCCCTATGCTGCTAATGATTTTAGTTGCCAAAGGTGACTAAAACCCCTGATTTCATTGGTGGTTAAAGGGTGGGGGAGGAGAGTGACATTAATGCCCTGTATTCCAGACCTGCTCTAAAACAGTAAGATTTGATACTACTGGTACAGAGGCTTCAGCAAGCTATGTGGATAGCTTGTATATGTGCCAAATACAAGATGTGGAGGTGGGTGGTCCAGCCTCCAAGAAGCCTTGTGGGCTGGATGACCCACCTCCTCAGGCCAGATTGAGCCCACGGGCAGTATGTTTGACACCCCCAATTTAGAGTATAAATAGAGAGAACAATTGTATCAGCATCAAAGTATAGGCTGTTATGATGCAAATGTTAAGTCTGCATGATTCTATAGTTGTGTAAAACTACTCCAACTTTAACTGTTTCATTCAAGGTTAAAATTACAGCCATTTAGCTTACTTGTATTGATTACTACAAGTTTATGCAGATGTAACAGCAGCTCCCCTCTCCGCTTTAAGCAGCTAAAATGTACATTTGTCTATACCTTCAGCTTATTGCAGTTTGGTAACATAGAATATCTGTTACAGTTGCCATACTGATACCACAACACAAATCTTCAAACAAGCAATTCCTGTTTTTGAGAACCGATACTGTGGTGGACCTTTGTTGTGAGTGGTGGTGAGCACCTGATAATGTTATCCATTTTAAGGTATTTTGGAGTCCTGAGCATCTCAAGGGTATTTTCATAAAGGAGAGTGTTGGGGGTCAACTTTTAATCCCCATGAGAAAAATGAAAGACTGCGAGAAGAAGTGAGAGATTAGAGAACATGACTCACTCCAGACTGCAAGGTTCAGTCATTTTGGTTACTGATACGCATTGGACTCAAAATAACCTAATATTAATGAAGTCTGATGAAAATGTGGTTGTGCAGTGGGATGAATGCTTTGTGTTCCTAATGGTGTCTTTTCACTGTATCTCTGTTGTTTATGTAAGTGTTTATGACAGATATTTAAATCGGTGAATAGTAATAGAATGCAGAAGTGAATTTTGAAGGGTGCCTGTACAAGAACACAGAACACAGAAGCTGCTCCGACGCACTGTAATTACAGTGCGTTGGAGCACCATTGATTAATCGAGTCTGTTGGAGTGTGGTGATTACCACACTCCACCAGCCTCCTGCGTCTTGTGTATCAGTGTCTCCGCACTTCAACATGGTGGTGGAGGCACTTGAACTAAAGCT